TGTGACAATTTTATTGTAAACCCAATTGTATAATAAATTTAACCCCAAATTAAAATTAAAATAAAATAAAATAATTGAATTGGCCTACAAACTTGGTAACAGAAATTTCATAGGTCTGATTCTATTACTAGCTACTGTAATGGCTTCCATATATACTGAACCTGGGGTGATGCAATCACCTACTTACATTGCACAATGTCAGTCAGGAGAGATACAAGATGGGAAGGAGTGCAGAGGACAGGGCGATAAGGAGCAGCATGGGAGGAGGGGGAAACAGGTCATCACAAAGAATTGACAGAAAACAATTATAGATGTTCACAAACAGCAAGTCCAGTCCACTTCTTCATTCAATCCAAAAGGAGCCCACGTCTGCAGTTGGTGAATCCAAAACAGCTCTCTTCTCAGGAGCACTCTGCACATGTTCAGATTGGTAGTCTACAGTCTCAATATCCAAAATTTTAGCTGTTTATCCGTATGTCCCAAGTCCAGAAAATGGTTCACTAATGGTGCAGAACGCTTATGCAGTCTAATGCAGCTTCGGTGTTCACCTATTCTGACTTTTACAGGTCTAGATGTTTGGTCTTCAGTAGGAAAGTGTTTACCCATCATATGTATTAGTATTTGATAAGTTTTTATAAGTCTGATACTTAGATAAAGATTTTTATCAGTATATGTTTTAACATGTTTTCGAAGAGGTAGAGGAACGAGAGATCATATTGCCAACATTCGCTGGATTATGGAGAAAGCAAGAGAGTACCAGAAAAATATCTACTTCTGCTTCATTGACTATGCTAAAGCCTTTGACTGTGTGGATCACAACAAACTATGGCAGGTCCTTAAAGAGATGGGAGTACCAGACCACCTCACATGTCTCCTGAGAAACCTGTATAAGGGTCAAGAAGCGACAGTTAGAACCGGATATGGAACAACTGATTGGTTTAGCATAGGAAAAGGAGTACGACAAGGATGTATATTGTCACCTTGCTTATTTAATATATATGCAGAGTACATCATGCGAAATGCTGGCCTGGATGAATCACAAGCGGGAATTAAGATTGCTGGGGAAAAGATCAACAACCTCAGATATGCAGACGATACCACTCTAATGGCAGAAAGTGAAGAGGACCTAAAGAGCCTCTTGCTCAGAGTAAAAGAGGAGAGCGCAAAAGTGGGCTTGAAGCTCAACATCAAAAAAACTAAGATCATGGCATCCGGCCCCATCACTCCTTGGCAAATAGAAGGGGAAGTCGTGGAAGTAGTGACAGACTTCACGTTCCTGGGATCCCAGATCACCGCAGACTGTGACAGCAGCCATGAAATTAAAAGACACCTGCTCCTTGGGAGGAAAGCGATGGCGAACCTAAACAGCATGATAAAAAGTAGAGACATCACCCTGCCAACAAAAGTCCGCATGGTCAAAGCAATGGTATTCCCAGTAGTCATGT